GAAATGAATTCAATTTTGAGTGTTGATTTTATTACAAAGCTGCGAATATTTATTTACGCTCCGGCAATCATTATATACATACAGTAATCACAGTCTGTGGAAGTAGAAAATATGGTTATAACTTATAAAGCAATTGTTTGTTTATTTAAAACAACAAACGTGTAGATTGCGCCGTCGAACAACATGACTTCATTTGTTTCCATAAACCAGTTTCTCACAGTTGTGTCGTAGGGGTGAACCGTTGTTATCACAGGGAGTTGGGTAAACAAATTTGAAATTTTAAAGGATAGCTAGTTGAATAACATGTGGTGTTTTGTTGTTGTAACAAAGCAAACTTTCCTAGGAAACGACGCCACGTGTTAGCTGTTAAACGAAATGTAAAGGGCTTATGTTGTATAAAAAAGCAGTAAACGGTAAAGCCCAATTTACATTTAAACCAAAAACGGGTTTCGCGAAACTAATTTCGGCACACGTGAAACTATTTTTGGTATGGATGCAATTAACGGTATCTATGTAAACACTGACAGCGTCAACTTTCAAGCTTTATTATGCGCAGATGGTATCGCGGCACTAAATTCGCCATATAAATCGTGGTGAAATATAATTCCTGGGAAAAAAATGGAATAAGAATATGAGATAAGAATTTTTTTGCTCCAACTTAACAAGAAATTACTTAGATACTAGGCATCAAAGTTGAGAAGTGGAGTTACGCTACGTTACAATTATGTAGAATATGTACAAATGTGTGACGTCACGCAACATTTATAAAAATAAAATATACGTAATGAATATTCTTCAATAGCCTACCCGACGGGCAGATAAACAAAATTTGTCATCAGCCCTATTGGTTGTGTTACACTAGTTTCATCAGAAATATTCGCATGACACGAAACTACTTAGTGTGAACTACATGCAAGGTGAAAGTAAACTTTTACGCGTGAAATTGCGAATGAAATTATTACAATAAAATTAATGTCAAGCAACTAATTTCGTGATGTAAATTGGGCGATGTAAGGGTTCCTTCGAACAGTCATTTGCTAAAGCGAGGCAGATAGCGGGTATGTGATAAAACGTCGTTAAAACCTGGGGAGACGATAAGTAGTACGTCTTCTAAATCTTTTTAATCCTTAAAATTGTTACTTAAATAGCAACATCGTTCCAATACAGTCATCGATAGGAGTATTAATGGTTCTAAAAATATGGTCAATTTTCAAATTAGTTCTTGGTGTAAATAAGACGATATTAAATTAGATATTATGTCATAATAGGCCTTCCCGCTTCCGTCATAGCATTCCATGCATTGTTTACAGTTTTCTGTTCCGATCAACTTCTGCTCTACCAAAGTTCAAATACTTTAAAATTTTTATGATTTATCACACATAAACTAATATACACATATAATATACTTATATTTATAATGTTTCTTAGAAGTAATATCACTATCAGTGCAATTTGTCTCGCGAGAGCTAAATTTGTTTTATTTGGTCATGCGAAATCTTTTTTTTATTCTGTAAATGTTTTACTAGCAAACATGACCACAATAGCTTCAAAACAATAGTCTCTTCAAACTCTCTCTAAATACGCATAAATCGCAATTGATTCACCAAAAAGCGTCCTCGGATTTAGTCGAGAACCGAGCGACTTAGGCACAAAGAAAGAGTATTATTCTGTAATCTCCCGGGGAGATGCCGAGACACGCGTCTAGCCGGGCCACATTAATTCCACATTAGCTCTCAATCGATTTGTGACATTTTTGTTACCCATTTCAAGTTAAAACACTCCAAACAGAAAGTAGGTGAACATTATAGAGATAACATTTTCCTTTCTATATATAATCCTTCGAATAGGGAGAATGGTTACAACCTACCACATGGATCCAGTGTGGATCTCTGTGTGCTAATGACTGGGGATGATGCTGAGACCGATGACTTAACGTACCCTAAGAGTAATAGCAGAGTTTGAGATAATACATTTTTGGTCATCTCATCGTATCGCAGACCAAACGCATTGACTCATGCACCATCAAACTATACTACATTTACTGCATTAGACAGAAGTTAAATAAGGTTCTTTCGAAGGTATACTTTGTAAGAAAATATAAACGATCATTTTACTTTTTAATTTTATTTCTTATTTACTGTATATCAATTTATTTATTAGCTGTCATACTTAATTAATCGTTTTAGCGATCTTTCAAATAAAATTAATATTGGAATAAAATAAATGGTATTATAACTATTGAATTAAAAAGTGTCTATTTTAAGAATCTATTCTTTAGGGTTCGTGTCCCATCTCAGAGTTGCAAGGACAAAATGGATTTTTCATTAAGAATATGCAAAATTGATAAAATATAATGAACAGTAACTTTTTAGTATAGAAAGCGATTAATGATGATTTTATAACCGAACAATGTATAAAGCCTAGAAAAATATTTATACGTGTAAAGACTCTATTTTATGTACTTTTAGGAAAATAAGGATTGAAAGTAGCTGACGGGCCGCCCACGTGTGGTTTAGTCCCTGTAGTAATCCTCAGTTCTACGACAGATCCAATAAAAATGTTTTGTCGTATCCTGCTTTTTTAAAAGTCAATGCTGTGAATCACATTAATCGTCGAGTTGCAAAACCTACTGATGCACCCTCTAGTTATAAAAAAGAAAAACAGGATAGTAATATTAACCAAAATAACGGGACCTAATGAAGATACACTAGGTTTCAATTCAAATTTTATTGTGCTTTCGATGAAGTTGTGTAAATGTTGACATTTGTGTTTTGTGTAGGAATACACTAACAGTATTTTTTTATCCATTTTTATACAGTGTTCGGTGCCCATAGGGTAAAACGGAAGTCCTATTACTGAGACTTCGATGTCTGTCTGTTACCAGGCTGTATCTCGTGAACCGTGAAAGTTAGAAAATTGAAATTTTCACAGATAATGCATTTCCGTTTCCACTTCAACAAAAAATACTAAAAACCAGGATAAAATAAATATTTAATGGTGATTCTTTGTTTGTTTCTGCTCGATATTGATAACGACAACTTGTAGACGCTTCTATCTACAGAATATGTATTTATATAGTAACTTTAAAAATAAATAATTAAATTAAAAATAAACAAATATTTAAGGGGATATTTCCATACAATAACGTGATTTTTTGCTCGTTTCTCGTTATGCGGAACACGTGGCCGGTTTTTTAAATGTATTTAAAATTATGTAATGATGATACGCAACCGTCTATTTCCGATTGTCGCTGAGCAACTATAAATTCCTATGATTATCAGTGACTCAACAAGTCGTAACCGACAAATGCTTGTCGCCGATTACTGCTACCAGCCGCTAGTAGTGTTGAAAAAAGGTGTAAGTTCTCAGAGTGCCTAATTGGGCTATTTTTGCTACTACGCATACAGTGCACGGTTACGAGTCAGCATCTGCCAGTTTTTATTTAAATTATTAGAGACATAGTCTCCACTGCGACTTAGATTATCACTAGCGATGGAACTAAGACGTAGCGTAGTACAAATACAACACAGCTTTTCAAACGAATGTAGTTATGTCATATTTTTTGCAGCGTCTATAGTGCTGTGTACTTGAGTGACATATCCACAAAGCCTTTATTCGTGCGCAGTATATTCCTGTGGTGCAATGGGCGTTATTACATATATTTCAGCACAAAATAAAGCTAAGCTTTTATGCTCAATATTTCTTAGTATAACAGTATAAATTGAATTTATATTCATTCGCTTTCTGGCTTTAAGCTTAGTCGCAAACTTTCTTGAGATTTTGTACACTTATAGTACAGAAATAAACATTTTTTTTAGATTAATCATCATCATAATCATGATGGAAGTAATGTATTTTTATTAAAAAAATACAAACACATCATATGCGGCCTCGAATATTACTTGCTAAGTCTTTATACATAGGAAATATCGCTGATTTATTGAAAAAGGAGAAATAATCTTTCAGAACATGTCACCAATAAAGATACATTAAACTTACATTAACTTCTATCGTCACCCCTTGTGACATTTCGTTGGTCGTATTAAGGTTATCTTGTCGAGAAGGTTCGTTGGGTAAACATTTTTAGACGCCCGACTCTGAGGTATCTAAGTCATTGGTTTTTTTTTAATAAAAGTATTAAAAATATCTTGAATGGTTTACGGGTGGTGTTCTTTGTTATTCCCTCGTCTTTCTATGTGAAAATCATTTGCTGAATTGTAAGGATACATATTGGATATTTTAATAAAGCTCCGATGGGTGTCGTTATGTGAGTTGCGATCATGACCTAGATTTATTCACACAAAGGCCCGACAAACATTGTATCATCTTTTGTATTAAAATTGTATCAATAACTTTCTCGAGTATTGACATTCTATAAAAACAGTTTTACGCTTCCCTAAACAATTTTGTTTTCGGTTTAAACATCCTCTTAAAGCCCTCAATATTTGTCGATATTGCATAGACTGACACGTGCTGCTGGCTACGAAAACAGATTTAGAGCGCACTTGACGGGTATCGAAACAGCCTCAGCACAAAGCTACGAAAGCGGCTTAGTCCACAGAAAGGAGATTAGGGCATAATCTGCAGCGAGCGGTTGACATACGCCCGAGGCACAGACCGCGCAGTTTACTCAGTAAATACCGTTACTATTCAGACTCACTAACGAAATGAATGGACTGAAGGCTACAAAGATATGGTACCTGTTTTAGAGCTTTTCTATTTAACAATATAAAACTGTTAGTACACTGAATCGGAGATTCATTAAATTTAAGAGCTGTATTTAAAATAAAAGGATAACTTATAACACAAAACGCTAGTCTTTAAGGTTTTGTATATCATGCTAAAGTTTCTGACCAATGAGTTATCGTCAAAAGTAGGTAATAATGCAATTGAGAATATTTAAACATCGATAAGTTTGCAAACCAGTAATGGAGAATCTTCTGCCAAAGTCAATTGTTATTAAATAAAAATAAGCTCCGCGATTATATAAAAATACACACCTTATGACATGTTTAGGCTTCAAACGATGCTCGACCCTGGAAAAGAAAAACAAAATGTTAAAGTACGTCTTGTTACTTATAAATTGAACTCGCTTATAAAACATGAATAGATGCCAATAAAAAAGAGATAAAAATAACGAGTGCATTCCGTCAATGTGACGAGGAAGGCATGTGTCAAGTCATTATCGGTGAGTCACCGCTGCACAACTTGTACAAGGGACAGGGTGTGAAATTAAACAGATTTTTAAGAAAAAAACAGTTTCGAAAATATTCTTAATGTTTAAACAAATATTAACAAATATTTTAAACTTTCGATTAGGATGAAAATTGATCAAATATAATAATAATAAGGTTCCAACTCACATGTTAATTAAGACTTATTTGAAAATTTCCCAGATTCTTTTTTATTCGTTTATATAAAAAAAAGTTAATGATTATAACATGCACATCAAAAATAACGTGCTTTAGATATATGATAATTGTATAGCTGAGACTTCGATTTAAAACTTAATTTAAAAGACGGCAAAATTTTATGAGTTTTACGCTATTATAACCGTTTCTCACAATCTATTTGTCATTATTTTAATTAAAGATTAAGGTTTTGTGGTTATACGGGTAGGAAACGCAAAGTGCTTTTTGTTTTTCTTTTACAGTTCGTCTCTAAGTCTAGATAAGGTTGACCATTGGTCAGTGTTGGGAATTGTCCGATAATAGGACGCCCACATGCGGGCGTATTGACTTACAATAAACGTCACATATTTCTTAATAAACCCAGTGTTTGAACGTGGGACAAGTCAATTATGTAACGACACTAAGCAGTAAACGTGTCTTGGGAAAAGTTCTAAGCTTTTACGACTATTTGGGGGGAATAATTGTTTATGGTAATGGGTAAAGCGATACTTATTTCAACTGAATAAGACGTAATTTGAATTGTTCGCAAATTCAGCAATTTCTTACCTTAGACGTACGATTAAGTAATACGCTAGGTAAGAGGGATTTGTATTAATACGAAAATTAAATATATCAAACCCTTTATTTATAATGAGCTGGAAATAAGTTTGTCCATTGGAAAAATTAATATATTAGCAAGCAGACTAATTAATATCATTTGAGTAAAATAAATACATACACATTCACCTCCTCTGCTTAAAGTATGATTAATGGAATATTCATCAAAACAGAAATTAGTCTTATAATTAAAACCTTCAAATGAGATAGGACACTGCGGTTAATTTACTAGTATAACTATACAGTTTAATATCTTTGGTATAAATGACTACATTTGTTTGGATAATGTTACAAAATTGCGTAATTTGACAAAAATTTGTAATGTTATTTTCCTAATTTAAATCTTTATAATTTTAGAAAAAAAAATACTGACCAATTCATCACACGGAAACAAAGGTGAATCCATACACTGAAAAGCCGAATTCCTTAGGGTTTAACCGTTATTGCTATTGCCAAAAGAATACAGTGACTGCGTGGTTCACGAGCTTGAACCAATGATATCTCAGTCAATGGAGTATTTAAAACTGTTTTACGCATACAAATTAGAACCCCGTTCATGAATCAGCTATGCTATTTGGTTATTCTGTCACAGCATAGAGCTCCAATGAAATAAAAGTCATTTTCTACTGAAGTAGGCTTGAGAATGCCTCTTTGGCATTGAGTCCACCATTTGTCTATTTTACTAGGTAATTAAAATTAAATAAAAACAAAACTTTTATGCTATTATTGAGTACGCGATTGTTTTTATAACAGAATAGCACTGTTACTTGGCTACAAAGGTAGTTAGCGACAAATTTTAAACTAATTTAGGGTTAATGTTGCGTCATTGCGTTGCAATCTGGTGAAAAGTATGGCTGTTACACTGCCAAATAAAATTAAAAAATGAATTAAGAAATAGTTTTAAAAGGGTGCCCTAGACATCATGTCATTTTTCAATTCATCTAGGCATCGACACAAATTATTTAATTAATTTTAAATTAACCAAATAACAGCTGACATGATCCGCATCTAAAGCCATCTACCACCATCTTCTTTAAGTAAAAATTGGTTGCAACTACAGCTCGCTAATGAGTGCCCGACTTAACGGGTACTGCAAACGCAATGTTGTTTATAAACAGCAGAAAACAAGGTCCACAGTCAATATCCGGTGGACGTCCACATTTCAATCACAGCCGAATACCAGATCGGTATCGGGCACCTTTTCATTATTCATCGCCATCGTGCCTCCCAGACGAACCATTAGCATTTTAAATTACATAATGAATTTACAAAGACGCAAGCGAACTCAAGTTGGTATGCTCAGTAAAAAGATTTACATCATTACATGATTTGGTTACAGTCAAACACGTATGCTCACTTAAAAAGATTTAAGGAGTTTGAGTTTCCTCGGTTTTAAGTAACGACCTCTTTTTTGTTCTTTCAAATTGGTAAAAAGATCAATAACTGCGATGGCAACAATAATCAATTGCTTTATCATCATCAGCCCTTTTACGTCCCCACTGTAGGGGCTCAGGCCCTCCTTATGGATGGTTAAGGAGGATGGGCCATGACCCTCCACGCTGGCCCAATGCGGATTGGAGGGTATTAACGACTGCAAGTGCAGCCGGGACCAACGTCTTAACGTGCCTTCCGAAGCACGAAGTAGTCACCCATCCCGTGACCGACCCTTGCGAAAGTTGCTTCAACAACGATCGCGGGCCTCGGTACTTATCCTCTATGCCACCGAGCTACATCAATTGCTTAAATATGCGTAAAAACAAAAACAATGTTAATTGAAAATCGAATGAGTAAATTATTTATTTATTATGCACATACCACAATGATATATATGAACACGACTGAGGGGGCATCATATAAATATAAAACATATCATTATATAAGGAAGCCTAGCGTTTTAACAAATAAAATTGTATTTAAGTAAGTATTGGAAACAAAAACATACATTTGTGGATGTGATGACTTTAAGTAATATAAAAGTGATTTTTATTTATTTTTTTCGATTGCTTCTTTATGATTTAATTGCGGCTCAACGTTTTTCTATACATCAGTGTTTTATTATGTCTACGAATAAATATTTACTACATCTACTTAGGCGCTTCCTTTAAATTAATGCAAATTAATATTCGAGTGAATATAAATCAGATCTGTCATAAAAATGTCAATGTCCTTATAGATTGACGTATAATAACCCCTGCTAATTGACAGACAGGAATCAAAATTGGATTCTACAACGTTTTCGTTTTAAAAATATTTGCATATACAATACGTATGTAGCTATCGAAATATAAGCTGTATTAGTTTATGTACTTAACGGTTCTAAATGCCAACCGCCAACTAATGAACTGTGTTGCTCGGCTATAAGTAGGTAGTAATGTACGAGCCGACAAAAATAAGATAACCATCTCTAAGTGTACGCTTAGCGACCTAATTCGCGGCCGAAAACCCGTCACTAAATGACGGCACCACAATTATAAGCAGTGAGATAAGCCTTTTTTATTCTAGTTGGACGTTTCCGTACGGCCCTTATCGTGCACACACTTTGAAAAAGACACGGAAAACTTAAGACATCGTTCAATTATTTTTATGTATTGATTTTATTTTGACTTGTTGCGATCTTTTTAACTTCACTAGCTGGCTATTTAGATCTCGAATCCTTTGCAGGGTAGACAAAGTTGCATAGTCCGTATAACTTCTTTCGATTATTTTTTTGTGTGTGCAATTACAGTCCAATAAATGTTATGGTTGTCATTTATCCACCCTAATATTATAAATGCGAAAGTAACTGTCTGTTGCTGTTAAATTTTCACGAGTCAACTGCTAAAACAAATGATATTTGGTGCACAGATAGAGAGCAACATAGGAAAGGATATAAAAATAATTTCTATCGCGAAAAATAGGCTTAAATTCGAATATAAAAACATAAAACTTTGTAGGTATCTAGGTAAATATAAATAAAATAAATATTATACGACATCACAAATATTGCCCAGTTTCCAAGAAGAGTAGACAACCAAGTTACCACAACACACAGACCCGAAACAAAATTCGAAATGTCCACTTTTCAACATTGACCCGACCGGGAATCGAATCGGGACCTCAGAGATGGCGACACATTAACCTGCGAACCACTTGGCTACGGAGACGTCTCTTATAACTTTCTTTATTATAACGACAAACTTCTAAACGCCTATGTAATGTAGCACTAAAACTTAATAAACATCAAACCAGTCTACAGTGTTAGCGCTAATGAATTCGAGGCAAAGTTAATCCGCGCCCACGCACCGTGCGAGACTCTAATCATTCATTCGACTCGAGATTATGTGGACGAATATGCATGAGCCGTTATCGCTCCATTGGCTACGAATGGGATTAGCTGTCGAAGGAAACTATGTGGTTTCCCATTAGAAACGGTGCCGGTCCGACAAAATTGTCATTATAGTTCGTAAACTCAAATGTCATCGTTATTGAATACTTTTCGATGGAAGGATTATGAAAATAAAGGTGACTGGTCAATGATGGCCGTTATTCACGCTGATCCCCATAGTCCGTCGAGTTCAGTTCATTAATTCGACTTATTTATTATTAATACACGCGTCTTCGTCTGCGTGGACTTAGAATGTTTTATTGATAAAATTGTTATGGGAAACGACGAAATTTACGTCCTCCTTAATGTCTTAAAGTTTTCATAATGTTTTCATTACTATTACCTGAACGATATAACCATGAAAGCTTAACAAAAAAACCTTAAATTGAAATATTATATAAAAAATAAAACAAAAACAGTTTATTGCTGAAATCATTCGGTTACAAATTAATACGCCGACACTTTCCAGTGAGTAATCAAAGACACTCGTTATGGGATAAATCTATACAGTAGTTATCGCACAAAATCCATTTTAGTAATTAACGTCGAACTGTTACCGATAATACAAACACGAAGAGTGCCTTAGTGATATGGCATATGGCAATCATTTTACATTGGAATCCATCATTGAGCATATCGCATGTAGGTTTTATAGTGTTGTCGA